ATGAGGTTGGCAGTGGGTTTGTCATATATGGCCTTAATTAATTCGTTAAGATATGCTCCCTCTATTCCCACTTTGCTGAGAGTTTTTATCATAGATGGGTACTGGATTGTATTAAATGTTTTTTTTTGCATCTAGTGAAATGATCATATGATTTTTATTCTTCATTTTGTTTTTGTGGTTTATCCCGTTAATTGCTTTGTGGGTATTGTACCAACCTGCATCCCAGGAATAAATCCCACTTGGTCATGGTGTATGACCAAGTGGGATTCGGTTTGCTAATATTTTGTTGAGGATTTTTGCATCTGTGTTTATCAGGGATATTGGCCTATAATTTTCTTTGTAGCATCTTTATCTGGTTTTGGAATTAGGATAATGCTGGCCTCATTAAATGAGCTTGGGAGTCTTTCCTCCTCTTGAAATTTTTGGAATAGTTTCAGAAGAATAGGTGTTAGTTCTTTGAATGTTTGGTAAAATTCACCAGTGAAGGTATCTGATCCAGGACTTTTGTTTGTTGAGAGATTTTTTTTTATTACAGCTTTTATTTAATGAGTTGTAATCAGTCTGTTTAAATTTTCTTTTTCTTTTTCTTCAGTCAGTTTTGGAAGATTGTATGTTTGTTTCTAGGAATTTATTTCTTCTAGGTTACCCAAGTCATTGGCATATAGTTGTTTGCAATATTTTCTTTTTAAAAAAGATTTTTAATGGACTTTAATTTTTATTTTTAAAATGTTTTTATTAATTTCAGAGAGAGGAAGGGAGAGGGAGAGAGATAGAAACAATAATGATGAGAGCAAGTCATTGATTACCTGCCCCGTATACCACCCCCACTGGGGATTGAGCCTGCAACCTGGGCATGTGCCCTGACGGAATCAAACCATGATCACCTGGTTCATAGGTTGATGCTCAACCACTGAGCCATGCTGGCTGGGCTTTAATTGATTTTTAGAGCCGAAGGGAGAGGGAGAGAGAAACATCAATGTGAGAGTGAAATATTGATCAGCTGCCTCCTGCATGCCCCCTACCGGGGATTGAGTCTGCCACCCAGGCATGTGCACTGAATGGAAATCGAACTGGCAGCCTTTTATTTCATGGGATGATGTCCAACCAAAAGAACTGCATTGGCCAGGGCTTTAATATTTTCCTATAATCCTTTGTATTTCAGTGATGTCAGTTATTTCTCCTTTTTCATTTCTGATTTTTATTGGGTGCTGTCTGCTTTTTTTTTATGAGTCTTATATAAGATTTATCAGTGTTGTCTCTCTTTTCACAGAACCTGTTCTTGGTTTCACTGATCTTTTGTATTTTTTTTTTTAGACTATTTCATTTTACACTCTGGTCTTTATTATTTCCTTTCTTGTACTCACTTTGGGCTTTGTTGTTCTTTTCCTCATTCCTTTAGGTATAAGGTTAGATAGATTGAGGTTTTTCTTGAGTTAGGCCTGTAATGCCGCGAATTTCACTCTTAGGACTGCTTTCATTGTGTTTTGGGTTGTTGTGTTCCCTATTTCATGTCTCAAGGTATCTTTTGATTTCTTCCTTGATCTCATTGTTACCCATTCATTATTTAGTAACCTTTATTTAGCCTCCATGTATTTGTGTGTTTTTAGTTTTTTTACTTTAATTGATTTCTGCTTTTATACTGTTATGGTCAGAGAAAATGATTGATATGATTTCAATAATCTTAAATTTATTGAGACTTGTTTTATGTCCTAACCTGTGGTCTCTCCTAGAAAATGTTCCATGTGCACTTAAAAGAATCTGTATTCTGCTGCTCTGGGGTAAAACGCTCTGAAAATATTATTAAATCCATCTGGTCTAGTGTGTCACTTAAGGCTGCTGTTTTCTTGTGATTTTGTTTTGAAGATCAATTCATTTGGGTCTCTTGTAGACGGCATATATATGGGTCTTATTTTCTTAGCCATCCATCTACCCTGTGTCTTTTGATTGGAGCATTTAAACCATTTATGTTTAAAGTTATTATTTTGAGGTATGTATATTGCCATTTTATTCTTTTTAACTATTTTCCTTTTTTTTTTCTTTCTTTCCTTTCTCCTTAAACAAGTCCCTTTAACATTTCTCTCAATCCTGGTTGGTGGTAATGAACTCCTTTAGCTTTTTCTTGTCTTGGAAGCTATTTATTTCTCTTTCAATTTTAAATGGTAACTTTGCCGGGCAGAGTTGTCTTGGTTGTAGTTCCTTGATTTTCATTGCTTTGAATATTTTGTGCCAATCCCTCTGGCCTGAAACTTTTCTGTTGAGAAATCAGTTGACAGTTTTATGCAAATTCCTTGTAGGTAACCAACCATTTCTCCCTTGTTACTTTTAAGATTCTCTCTGTCCTTAATCTTTTGCATTTTAATTATGATGTGTCTTGGTATGGGCCTCTCTGAGTTTATCTTGTTTGGGACTGTGCTTACTGGGTTTATCTTCTTCCTTTGCCAGGTTAAGAAAGTTTTCAGTCATTAGTTCTTTAAATAGGTTCTCAATACCATGCTCTTTTCTCCGTCTGGTACTCCTGTGATGTGGATGTTGTAACACTTCATGTTGTCCCAAATGTCCATTAAACTATCCTCATTCTTAAAAAATTCTTTTTGCTGCTCTGATTGGTATTTTCTGCTTCCTTGTCTTCCAAATCACTGACTCGATCCTCTGCTTTATTTAACCTAATGTTGATTATCTCTATAGTATTCTTCATTTCAGATATTGTAGTCTTCATTTCTGACAAGTTTGTATGGTTTCTATGTCCTGTTTTATGCTGTTGAAGTTCTAAGTTCCCTTGGCATCCTTGTAACCACTTTTTTGAACTCTGTATCTGGTAGAAGGCTTACCTCCATTTCATTTACTTTTTTTGAGATATCTGTTCTTTTATTTGGGGCATTTTTTGTTCCCTTTTTGGCTGTGTCTCTGTTTCTGTGTATCAGGTAGATCTACTGCCTCCCAGTCTTGGTAAGGTGGCCTCATGTAGTAGGTGTTGTGGGACCCAGTGGCACTGTCTCCCTGGTCAGTGAGCTGGAGGCTCCAGGAATGTCCCTTGTGTGGGTCATGTGAGACTTTCTGTGGTATTTTGTTTTCTTTTTGTTTTTTTGGACTTAAAAAAACAAACATTTATTTCTCACAGTTCTAGAGAGAGAAAAATACAAGATCAAGGTGCTGGTAAATTCAGTTCTGGTGAGGGTGTGTCTTGGTTTATAGATGGCTGTCTTCTTGCTGTATTCTCACATGGTAGTGTCTGTAGTTTAATTTTGATTGCTATTGGCCTGTCCGTGTGGGGTCAATCCTGAGGCTGGCTGACTGTGAGGATCAACCCCCAGCAGTGTATGAGCTGCTATGTGGGTACAGACCACATGAAGTGGAATTCACCTCAGCAGGCTCTGGTGCATGCCAAGATTTCCCTTTGGAGGTGCTGCTTGTGGAGCTAATTGCATCCTACTCTAATGTTGTCTTAAGCCCTCCGCTGGGTGTGTTGGTTTTGGGGCCTCTTGGGAGGGACTCTGGTATAGGTCAGTGTGTCTGCCTGTAACTGGCCTTGGGCAGTGTTTGGAGCTACAAAGTGAATCAGTTTGTAGCTTCCTCTGCCAGGCTTGTGTGTGCGTGGGAAGGGTCAAGCTGTGCACCAAGGCTACTTCCACCAGCACTGAGCCAGGGGGCAGGTCAGCAAAAGGCCCAAGGCACGCCAAGATCTGCTTCTGCCTACGTTGTCTGCTAGGCTGTCACTGAAAGAGCCTCTGGCTGTATGTAAGTTACCTGATGTAGGTTCTCAGTGAGTCACCAGATAGATGTGAGTGGTGTTTAACTGACTGATACAGATTCAAACTTGGGTGCTCATCTTAGGTCTGAGGCCACTCAGTAAAAACTTCAAGGTACACCAAGGCTGGCTGCCACCTGCTGGGTGCCCACAGACCTTTGTGGTGCAGAGGGGTCTCAGGGAGTTTTCAGGGTGAGGCCAGCAGAGTTTATTAGACCCAAACAGACCTATATTTGGCCACGTGAAGAGAGGGCTCTATACAAGTCAGGCATGTGAGGGCAAACTGGCCCCTGCCCTAGTCTCATACAACTCAGTCTCTGACATCCAGTCTTCCTGGACCTCTACAATACGTTCCTGGGCAGCTGACTTTGCCGCAGAGTGTGAGCTCAGCAGGGCAGGACCTCTGAAGTTTGGAGAGTGGGGGTATTGCATTCATACTGTGTGGAGGGCAGTGCTTTACCCAAGCAAGATGGTACCTGTGGGTGAGGGACTCTGTATAGGGACCCTGGTGATTCTCTTCAGCTGTATCCTTGGAGTTATGCTACTCATTCTCTCCAAACATAAGTCTAGTCTACTTGTGAGCTGCCCTCCCTCCACTGGAGCCCAGGGTGAGTGGCTATGAAAGAGATTTTGTGCCCTGGCCCTTTGAGAGAGCACCTGGGTTTCTAGAAAGCTCCCGACTCTCTGGCAGACAGAGTCCCTGCTGACTTCACAGCCAAGTTTTGTGGGCTTCTCTTTTTGACTCTAGTACTCTGGGCTGGGGAATCTGGCATGGGCTTAAGACTCCATGTTCCTCAGGGGGGACCTTTGCAGCTGAGATATCCTTAAAAATTCTCACATGGGAATGGGGTCAGCCATTTTCCTGTATCTGCCCTTTCTGCCAGTCTTGATGTGGTTCTCTAAATCCCTGGTTATAAGACTTGTTCAGCAAATCTTCAGTTGGTTATTCAGGATGATTGTTCTGTATTTTAGTTGTAACTGCAGTTTGGTCTTGGAAGGAGATGAGTGTAACTTCCACCTACTCTGCTGCCATCTTGCATCCCCTCTGGCTGACTCAGGCCTTAATTATCATTACACATTGTAGACATTTACTTTCATCAGGGTTGAGAGGGTACTTTCTGTATTCACTGCATAACAAATGTTTAATAAAGCCAGTCTACACTACTTGTTTGTTGTAGTTGTGTAAAGTGTATAGAGTTTGCATCTTTTCTCTAAATTGCCATTTGTGGTATTTTTGTGTGTGTGTGCTGATCAGGATGTGATGGTGGCAGGCGGAATGGAGAGCATGTCCAATGTTCCCTACGTCATGAGCAGAGGAGCAACACCGTACGGTGGGATAAAGCTTGAAGATTTGATTGTAAAAGATGGGCTAACTGATGTCTACAATAAAATTCATATGGTAATTATTGCTTTTTAAATAGCGAAATGCCATGTAGTATTAAAAGTACTGCTTATTTAAAAAAATGATACGTAATTTAGAAATGGAACTGAATGATGGGCTCTATAAAATGTTGATTTTAGCCACTCATTTGATGAAAATATTTTACTATGCTTATTGCATCTGCTTGGCTCAACTGTTGAATATAGGGCATTTTTTTGACTTCTAATGATGGGTTTTATAACTACTTAATTACTTGCTGTTGAAATAGCAACTTCTGGGCTAATTCAAGTATTTGAATTTAAGACTTGAAACTAAACTTAACTGCTATTTTATGTTATACAAATGTAATTAGTTTTTTAAAAATTCCAACTTTTATCAGGGTAACTGTGCTGAGAATACTGCAAAAAAGATGAATATTTCACGAGATGAACAGGATACTTATGCTATTAACTCCTACACCAGAAGTAAAGCAGCATGGGAAGCTGGAAAATTTGGAAAAGAAGTTATTCCCGTCACAATTTCAGTAAAAGGTAGAATGATAATATTCCAAAATATATTTTAATTTTTAGGAGACTTTACATGTTGCTAAATTTTTTAAGTTTTAAATTAGTACATTTTAATCTTTTTCATTTCAACTGAGGACACTGACCCTTCTGCTTAATTAAAGGAAATGTTGCCAGTTCAGAGATAATACAGTTTAATCCAATTTAAGATTTCATTAAATTCTACTAAGCATATTATTTTGAGAAATGTATTTATTAGAACCCTTTCTAATGTAAGTGACAGAGAACACATTAGCGTAAGCTACAAAGAGGACTTAATAGAAGACTTCTGGGTTACCTCCTAGAATTGAAGGATATGAGGCAGCCAGTCAGCTCAGGGGATTTTAGGGACTGACCTGGGAATTCAGTGTTAGGACATGTTCTCTTGGCTACTCAGTGCTACGTGCTTTGTGCTTAATTTGTTCAGGCTTCCTAAGTTTCTGCCTTTATCTTTAGTCACATTTCTAAGGCTCAAAGAGAGCTCCTGACCAACTCCAGCAGACTAAATCAACAGTAAAGGCTCATTTACCTGGTTTAGGTTATGTCTCTATTCTAGGAATAATGACTGTCCCAAGAATGATGGAATAGTAGAGCTTATCCAGTCTAGGTCAGGCATCTACCCCTAGGGTCAGGAGAATGGAATGGGGCTGAATAGATTTAAATTGTGTTAAGCTACTTATTAAGCTGTGAGATACAGATTTATAGATGGCAGATTGCACAGCAGTACTCCGGACGGTTTAAGGTATGCAGGCATACAAGGGACGCACAGACTACCAGGCACCTTGTGCGAGTTTCTTACTGAATGACTGGTGATTACTTAACTTAAAAAGGTTTTTGTTTTAGGTAAACCAGATGTAGTGGTGAAAGAAGATGAAGAATATAAACGTGTTGATTTTAGCAAAGTTCCAAAGCTGAAGACAGTTTTCCAAAAAGAAAATGGTTAGTATTAAGAAATGAAACAGAAGGAAAAATGGAATATTAATCTAGTTTTGGAATTGTGTAAGGATTTAAAAAAATAATTCTAGAAAACATCACTTAACAGTTAAGACCTTTAATATGTAAATCCTAGGAAAGGGATTACAGAATGACTTTAGGATTGTTTTTCACATGCAGTTCATCCTGAAAGTTGATGGTGATATGAAAGTCAAGTTTACTTATTATGTTAAATACCTGTAAGTTTCTTGAGGACTAAGATGATAACTGTGTAGTTCACGGTTCTATCTCCAGTGCTTAGCATGTAGTAGTAGGCCCTCAATAAATAGTTGTTGGATGTTAGTATAAATGAGAGTTCAGTGTTCTTAAGGGTTTTGAAATCCTTTCCTGATTGAATTTCTTAAAACCAACTGTAGGAATGGATCGTTTGTTTTTTTTAAAAATAAGCATCATATATTAAAAAAAAATTAGCAGTCTGTTACAGGGTCTTCATTGGTATTTTTATGAAACAGCTTGACATAATTTACACACCAGAAAATTGTTTCAAATTATAGTTCAGTGATTTTTTAGTATTCACTGACATTTAACTTAAATGACTGTAGAGAAGAAATATGATTTTGACAGACTCAAAAAATATAGTGTCTACTCTATGATGGATAAGCAAAGAGAAGGGGGAGAAAAAAAAATGAACTGGTTTTTACCTTCAAAGAATTGTAAACCAGCATTTGCCCAGTGCGATCATTGCATGTGTTTCTGAGCTAGCTCTGAGCAAACTGTTATAAAATATTAACACAAAACAGAGCTTTCTTACATTGTTATAGTTAGCTATGTATGTTCGAGGGCAGGAGTTACCTCCGTCTGTAATTTCCCATGCCTCTAGCAACATAGGCAGTACTCTGTGTGAATTTAATTAGACCAAATTAACTCGGTGTGAAGGAATGTTTTGACTTCATGTTGATGCTTTCAGGCACAGTCACAGCTGCCAACGCCAGCACACTGAATGACGGAGCAGCCGCTGTGGTTCTGATGACTGCAGATGCAGCCAAGAGACTCAATGTGAAACCGCTGGCAAGAATAGCAGGTAGAGAATGTTCTGAACTTGTTTATTCCTAACCCTTTGTAAGCCATTCCTAACACTGAGTTTCTTCGTCGCTAATACCATAATACTGAAGCTATTTGTAGCTATATAGGTTGTGCTTTGTGACAGGATATAACTAGTATATATTTTAACTTGAGATAGGAGCTCCTTTAATATTTTTGTTATAATTTGCTTTATATAATAGTAAGCTTTAAAAGTATTTTCCTGGCCTAGAAAATGAGTGGGAGAATACTGGGTACATGTTTTACCCTGGCAATGTGGGGAAAGGTAGCCAGATTAAATCCCATATGTATGAAAAATACGGGATGAGGAATCTAGAAATATGAATTCTAGGTGTTCTGGCATTCATTATTAACTCTGGCCTTGGCACACCCTCAGTCTCCTTAAGCCTATTTTTAGCTGTAAAATATGCCTGGCATTCTTCATAAAGAGTAAAACAGAAATTTTGTTACTTTATAAAAACCTCTAACTTCATTTTATTCTTAGTTTAGATCATGGTTTCTTAACCTTAGCATTGATATTTTACAACAAATAATTCTTTGTTTTGGGGTTTGTTCTGTGCATTGTGTAGAATGTTTAGCAGATCCTTGGCCTCTACCACAGTAACTGGCGTTGTACCTGTTACTACAACCAAAAATATCTCAAAATAACGCCAATGTCCCTGGAGGCAAATCCTCCCTAACCCCCTACTCATGAAAATCAACAGCTTGTAAATCTATTCCTTTTCTAAGATTCTATAATTTACATTTATTACAGGGGTTAGGAAACTTGCCTTTTTGTATATTATATGTAACAGTTGTTAAAGCTTTAGGTGCTTATAAAAAAGATTTTAAAAACTTTTTATTTCTTTATGAAGCATTTGCCGATGCTGCTGTAGAACCTATTGATTTTCCAATTGCACCTGCATTTGCTGTACCTAAGGTGAGAACATACTCCATTCTGCCAGGTTCTGACTTGTGTATACCAAGGTTGCAGGTTTCAGATTTTAAATGTTATTCATCTCCCAAAGCATAGATAGCTTGAATTAATTGTAAGCCACACACCAGTATGGTAACCACAGAGTGGGAGGGTGGTATACAACAAAAAGGGAATGTTGAGGGTCTTGGTTCTAGAGTTCAAAGCAAATACTCATTACTAGAAGGAGAGGTCTCCATTCAGAAAGGGAATTGTTGGGAGCAGGTGTTAGAGTAAAACTACAAATAGAGAACCTACCTACTCCAAATTGTCAGTCTCTGTGCAAAGTTGCTAACGGGTCACAAGACACAAGAAAAGAGAACCCCAAGGAGGTACGGAGGGATCTCAGGAGACTTGAACAAGTATTCCCTTTCAGGAGAGGGAGGGCCTCATCCAAGAGAGTGAACTTAGAGAGCGGCACTGAGATTAAAAAAAGAAAAGAAAAAGGCAGAAACCATGGAGATTAAGGATAGAGAAGGATCAGAAACAGTGGGGAGTGATGATCTGTCCAGAGGTGGTAGATCCCAGAAAGTGACAAAATTACACAACTGTAAGAGAACGTTTCACATTGAAAAGCAAGGGTGATAAACCGTTCTGGATTCTGTAGGGAGACTCCTGACCCAGGCTAGATTCTGAGAGCTAGATAAGTGGTTCAACTTGGGTGCCATGTCTTGCTGCTGGAACAGAGGAGGCTGTTTGAACTCTACAGCTTAGAAAGTTACCTGAGCCCAATGGGGGAAGAGAGAGGAATAGTTTCACGTTAACTTTATTGTTGCTTGCAACATAAAAACTTTTAAAGAAAAAGGGCACTACCAATATTTTATAAAGATAATCACTACCATCGCAACACCTTCCTGCCTATGAGGAACTACCAAAACAAGATATTCGAAAAGAATTTAAGTAAATAATTTACAGTAAAGTTACAATAGCTCTGAATATCTGTGCCCCAAATAACTCCACAGCAACTTTCATAAAGCAGAAACTATAAGGGATGCAATAAAAAACATTAACATACTAACAGTAGAGATTAATATACCTCTTTCATTTGACAGACCAAGTTTCTCTCTCCCCAAAATAGAAGTTAAGATAGTGCAAATAAAATCCTTTGATTACAATGCAGTAAGTTGAGAAATTAAAATCGAAAATAAAAGAACCATTCTTTCTGAAAACTAGCTACATATTTAAATCTTTCATCAAAGGGAAATACAAACTGAATTTCTGGTCAAGATGGCAGAGTAAGTAAATACTGTGCTCACCTCCTCCCATGACCACATGAAAATTACAACTAAGTTACAGAATCGTCACTGAGAACCACCTAAGACTAGGTGACCAGAACTCCTATAACTACAGATATACAGAAAAAGCCACGTCAAGACTGTTGGAGTGGAGACACGGAACGGGCAGGTCCTATACCAATTAAGAATTGTGAGGGCTATCAGCTGCAGAGGTCCCCTCTGAAAAGTGAGGGGTCCCAGCCCAGGGCTCCAGTGCCAGGAAGAGGAGGTCCTCATAACATCTAGCTGTGAAAATCAGTGGGCTTGCAGCTAAGTGGGAAGGAAGGCTGCTGGAGTCCCAGGTGTTCCTCTTCCAGGGCCCAGGCATGGACTTGCTTCTTCACATACACTCCTTGGGTTCCAGCACAGGGATAGAGAGGAACTAAATTGACCAGCTCCAGGGTAAGGGCTGCAGGGGCGGGGCTGTGCATGAAACTACTGGGAGGTGCCATTGTTCCTTTGAGCCCTCCCTCCACCCGGCTGGTAGGCAGATGCAAAACTGAGCTCTCCATTAACCCGGCTAACACCAGTTGCCCTGCCCTGCCGATTCCCTGAGACCCCTGCCTCCCACCCAACTCATGCAGCTGGTCTGAATCTCTTCCAGCTGCTTTTTTACACAAGTACCTTACCTTACCTTGGCTTGTGCTGTGGACTTTTTTTTTTTAATCACAAAGGTCCAAAAAAGCGTCATCTGGCTTCAGTGTGCCCTGTACCTCTTGCTAAATAGCCCCAAGCCTGGTATAAGCAGTGATTGGTCTCACCTAGACATTGTAACATCCATTGGATGGCCACAAATCTGACATAAACAGTGGCTGGTCTTGGCTTAGAATATAGTTTCAACTAAGCAGCCATAAGCACAATATAAATGGCAGCTGACCTCAGCTCACTGTTGTACCCACCAAAAGTTCTATGCCCAGGACTAGTGGCATCCAGCCTTAGTTTGCAGGATAGTCTCTCCCAAGTGCCTTTAAGCCCAACAGAAGTGCCAACCAACCTCAGGTTACTTTTTGTAGCTCCTATCAGCAGCACCAAGCCAGGAACAAAGGACCTCTAAACATCACCAAAGCCCCTCCTAAGGTCCTCCAGAACCAACATACCTGGTGGCCAGCTTCAGACTATGCCAGACCACCACCCAACCAGCTCCACAAATGACACAGAAAAGGGCGGACTAGGCTGGCATTAGAGCCCTCCTGCGCCTCCTAATGCGCTTCCTGCTCTGTGGGGTCAGCCCCTGCAAAAGAGTTTATTTGCTGTTGTCATGGCCAGCCCCCATGAGGGTCAGCTCCACCTATTGACATGCCAACAGCAAATAAGGCTCAACTACAACAGGAGGGCACACAAGGGAGATGGCCCCAGAGGACATCTTCCACATACAGCTAGTCCAGGAGACATATGAGATCTACCTAATACATAGAAAGAAACACAGAGAGGCAACCAAAATGAGGATTAAGAAGAAACACGCCCCAAGTGAAAGAACAGTTCAACCCTCCAGAAAAAGAACGAAACCAAATGGTGACAAGCAATGTACCAGATAAAGAATTCAAAACACTGGTTATAAGGACGCTCAAATAATGGGAAAATTAGATGAAGTCAGTGAGAACTTCCAACAAAGATATAGAAACCATAATAAAGAACTGTCAGAAATGAAGAAAACAACTGGAATAAAGACTAGGTTAGAATCAACAGTAGATAAGATGAAGCAGAAGATTGAATCAGCAATTTGGAAGACAAGACTGGAAGTAAAGGGATGGAAAAGGCATTTCATGTAAATGGCAAAAAAATAACCTGGGGTAGCAATACTTAAACCAGACAAAATAGAGTTTAATACCAGACAAAATAAACTTCAAAACACGTGCTGTAACAAGAGACAGAAGGGCATTTTATAATGATAAAGGGGTCACTCCAACACGAGGACATAACTCTTGTAAACATTTATGAATCCAATGTAGGTGCTGCACCTAAATATATAAAGCCAATATTGACTGACATATACTGAGAGACCGACAATAATACAGTAAGAGTAGGGGACTTTAGCACTCCAGTGACATCAAAGGATAGGTCATCCAGACAGAAAATACAGAAATAGTTGCCTTAAATGACACATTAGAACAGAAGGATTTAATAGATATTTTAAGGATATGTCACTCCAAAGCAGAATAATAGTTTTTCTCAAGTGAACATGGAACATTTTACAGGATATATACCACGTTAAGCTACAAAACAAGTGTCAATTTTTAAGATTGACGTATGAAGCATCATCTCTATTCACAATGGTATGAAATAAATTACAAGAAAATTGAAAAACACAAACACATGGAGGCTAAATAACATGCTACTCAATAATGAATGAGTGAATGAGTCAAGGAAGAAATCAAGATGCCTTGAGACAAAAAGGAAAACACAATGACCTAAAATCTATGGGACACAACGAAAGCAGTTCTAAGAGGGAAATAGTAATACAGGCTTGTCTCAAGAATCAAGAAAATATAAGCCCTGGCCGGTGTGGCTCAGTTGGTTGAAACAACTTTGCATACACAGAAAGGTGGTGGGTTCGACGCTCAGTCAGGGCACATACCCAGGTTGCAGGTTCGATCCTCGGTTGGGTTCCATATGGAGGGCAACCGATCACTATTTCTCTCAGTCTTTCTTCCTCTCTCTAAAATTAATAAAGAACATAATATCCTCAGATGAGGTTAAAAAAAAAAAAAAAATCAAACAATCTAACCTTATACCTAAAGGAACTAGAAAAAGAATAGCAGACAAAGCCCAACGTGAGTAGAAAGAATAAAAAAGACCACAGTAGAAAGAAATGAAATAGTCTAGAAAAACAATACAAAAGAACAATGAAACCAAGAACTGATTCTTTGAAAAGATAAAATTGATAAACCTTTAGCCAGACTCACCTTAAACCAACATAGTATTGTATCTCACATGTAATTGATAAATAAAATTATACATATGGGAAATATAAACCAAAATTGCAGAACTTCAAGAAAACAATGTTTTGACTGTAAATTACTTGACCATAATCTATATTTTAAAAAATTTTAGGTTCTTAAAGATGCAGGATTGAAAAAAGATGATGTTGCAATGTGGGAAGTAAATGAAGCCTTTAGTCTGGTTGTACTGGCAAACATTAAAATGCTGGAGATTGACCCTCAAAAAGTGAATATCAATGGAGGAGCTGTTTCTCTGGGACATCCAATTGGGTAGGTAAAATCATAAAGAAAAATCTCGAAGTAGATCACTGCCTTTGTATTTCTATCTATAAGTGCTTCATGACAATCCCCATTACTCTGTTAAACAGATATCCATCCCACCCTTCAGAAGGCAAACACCATTTGTGATAAGACTGAACACTGATCTGTAATGTTTGTTGCTTGAAAAGTAGTGTTTTATTTTAAAGTTTAAGATTAAAGTCTATGCTTGGGCTTTAAATAAAGTTGTAACCATTATTGAAACAAGTCTCCCAAGTTTAAGTAATGAAATTCAGCTACAATTAATGGATAATATACTTTTTAAGAAGTTAATTTGGAATAGAACCTTTTTTTATTACTCATAAATTCTATACTTCATTAAAGAACCAAAATGCTTTCTTAATCCTAGGATGTCTGGAGCCAGGATTGTCACTCATTTGGTTCATGCCTTGAAGCAAGGAGAATACGGTCTGGCCAGTATTTGCAATGGAGGAGGAGGTGCTTCTGCCATACTGATCCAGAAGCTGTAAGACAACCTCTGTAACCCTTGGGTCAGCTTATACTCCAACTGTTTCATTTTTTATTATTTTCTATTTTAACTTTTTCTAAATAAGATCAAATCACAAAACATTTTGAAATTACAAATAAAATTTTTTTCTGCTTTAAATTTTTTTAATCTTCAGAAGATTCACATTTTTATGTTATAAAGCTATATTCGAAATACCAGGGTGCAAACTTAGTGACCTATAAGCAGCTACAGGCTTCCATTTTAGAGAATAATTTGTTTCTGAGGACTGTTAAAGATCAAGTGAATGTCACCCATAGCTAACTTAGATTTAGTAACTCTTTAATGTGAGAGTGGATATACTGGGAAAACTGGCAGTGTCTCATACCATTAAGTAAGAAGCCACAATCAGTGGGTGCAGTGTTGCTAGAAAAGGAGAAACTTACGTGCTCAGGTCTGAGTGGGTATAATTTCTCATAAGCTCAGCATTCAGCATTTGGGGTGGGGTGACACACAAAGTACTGGAGTTTGAGTTCTTAATTACTGTAGCAGCACAAAAGAATGGGAAAGAAGGTAGAAACTGCTCAATGAATGGATTTATAAAAGAAAGAAATTGCCACTTTCAATATGCCACATTTTTTTTTTTTTTANCATTGGAAAACAGCCCAATGTCCAACCATATGTGTTACCTTAAATAAATAGGGAACATACACAGCAGCATACCCTGCAGCCATTAAAATGATACAGAGAATATTTAATGACATGGAAAGATGGTCAATCAATCAATAAATAACAAAATGGGACATACACTATGATCCCAATTTTGTCAAACAAAATAATAATATATTACAAATATATTTAGTCCAGGACAGGATTTATCTGATTGAAGGATATTTTGAAATCCCAGATGGTTTTCCTCTACTTTTAAGTTTTTATATATTTTTACCCTCATCCAAGGATATGTTTATTAATTTTAGAGAGAGAGAGAGAGAGAGAGAAACACTGATCCGTTGCCTCCCATATGTGCCCCAACCAGGAATCGAACCCACCATCTTTTAGAGTGTGGGACAAAGCTCCAACCGAGCCACACTGGCTAGGGTACAATGCTTGTTCTTAAGCAGGATAAAATGCAGCACAAGTATCTCAAATTGTATTTCATCTGGGGGAAAAAACCCCCCCACTGTAGACAGGGGCTATGCATACCAACCTCAGCTGTAGCTCTGGGAAGGGAAAACGCCTACTCAAGCTGAGACTGACAGTAGTGGGAGAGGGGTGGGACAGAAAAGGTCTTTTATACACATCTCTCTTGGTAAATAATTCACTATAGATCCTTATCTTTGAAGAAACAAAAAGACAATATATATGGAAAAAATAAAGTTTTGTTGACAAAGAACTTAAAAAAACATTTGTATAGTAATTGAAGCTAACTTTTGTGGCTCATTATGTGCTAAGTACTGTCCTAGAAACTTTATTTGTATCAACTCCTTTAATTCTCAGGAAAACTTAAAAGAGGGTAGGTACCATTACCTATTATCATTACTAGATAGATAAGGAAATTGAGGCATGGGATGCTAAATAAATCCCAAGGTCTCATACCAGGTAAGTAGCTGAGATGGGTTCAAATTCAAGCAGTCTCACTCCAGGGCCCCTGTAACTCACTATGCTTATTAGCTTCTCAGGTACTCTCAATAAGTACCTGCCCTAACTGTAATAGGAGCTAGGAAAATACATGAAAAAAAAGGAAAGCCAAAATATACTCGAACACTTCACTGAAGATAAGCAGAATTAATACTGCATCCAAAAGTCAGTGATGTGAAAGTATCTGAAAACCTGTCTGACAATTCTGGGAAAAAATAAAGGGAGGAAATGGAAAAAGATATAGAATAAACAAGTAAATGGTATTTCTTAAGTAGAAATGAAGACAAACAGTATTCTGAAGCAATTACAATATAGTTTTAAAACTTTTTTTTTTTTTTTTTTAGTATTAAGCAGGCACATGTTGAAGGTCTTGTTTCATTAGCAGAATTAACAGGGAATCATACCAAGACAATCTGGAGAAAACAGTAAAGAAAAATAATTCTTCAAACATCTAGGTAGGAAAATGTGTAGCCTCAGTCCCTATTTCTATCATAGTAAATGCCATAAAACAAGTGAACAACATCTGGGTAACATTTTTTTTTTTTTTTAAAATATATCTTTATTGATTTCAGAGAGAGGAATGGAGAGGGGGAGAGAGAGACAGAAACATCAATGATGAGTCATTGGTCAAACCCGCAACCCGGGCATGTGCCCTGACCGGGAATCGAACCCAGATCACCTGGATCCAAGGTCAACGCTCAACCGCTGAGCCACGCCCGGCTGGGCTGCGTAACATTTTTAATGGAATAAAGTAATAGAGACACTAGAAGGTGTCCAGGCACACAACAGCTTAGAAAATACAGCACTGTGATGTTTCCTCAAAGGAGGACAGGAAAAATAATCAAAATTAAGAAATCAGGAATGTGAAAGTTTAAAATGTTTTAAATGATTAAGGACTGGCTGGGGGTGAAGGTTGGTTACTGGTAAAATAGGGATAGGAATTTTAAAGTTGGCTGAAAAATAAGGGGTTGGGGGTGCTGATCCCCTGTGTAGTCAGAAGTCTGCATATAACTTGATTCCTGAAGAACTTAGTTGTCCCCCAGTATCTGTGAGGGAATGGTTCCAGGACCCCCTGTGGCTATAAAAAAGCAAGGATGTTCAAGTGCCATATATAAAATGGCACAGATCAATGCATATAGTTAGCCTTCATATCCAGACTCCCAGTAGAGATATTTATTGGAAAAAAGTCTGTGTAGAAGTGGACCCAGACAACTCAAACCCATGTTGTTCAAGGGTCAACTGTATATGCTAAATAAAGGCAAATGCCCATATAAATCAAAACAAATTCTAAATCTTAGTTACTATAGAATGTAGATCTGAAAAGCTCAATAAAGTAAAAAGAGAGGTTGACTTCTAAATTTATTAGAAGTCAACACAGAAAGTGTTAAAATAGGACAAAAACTATTTTGTATAAAGAAAAGATTATTCAAAGTAACCTTACTCCAAAACAGGTATAGGGGCATAGAAAGTGTTTTTATGGGGGATGACAAGAAAATTTAGCACACAATTAGGAGCTGTGATCCTTCCTGGAGAACAGGGATGCCAGCAGATGCCACCTCTGCCTTCTGACTTAAGCCCACCACAAGTCATCAACATCTCCCTAGAAGGAGCTTGTACATATGTCTGGCACCACAGCTTTTGCAGGTGCCACCCAAGGAACAGGCCCTTGGATCACCTGGCTTTGACAGCCAACAGGGCTTGTGATCATGGGTCCAACAAAAACTAAAGCAAAGAAGCAGGTATTAATGGGTTCATGACCACCCCGTCAATCTTCATGGATGGGCCCTAACAACATACATTCCCAGCTGCTGCCTGATAGCACAGTTTCCAATCAGTCTGCACCTACATGCTTGATGCCATCTTCTCCTTTAGGACAACGACAGGTTTTGGCACACCTTCGACTACTGGGAGCCACTAAAAACAAAGAAGGAAGCATGGACAGTTGAAACCGTTTAAGAGACAATGAGGAGCTCTGGCCAGGCTGTGTCCTACGCAAGATCACTCTGTTAAAGGCTGGGAGAGGTGGCTGTTTTACCTAATGCACAGAAACCAGAGAGTAAAGGAAAATGAAAAAATAGAGGAAACAAAAGAACAAAAAACACTCCAGAAACAGACCTTAATGAAAAAGAGCTAAGTGATTTACCTAACAAAAATTCCAACTGATGGTCAATAAAGATGCTCAACGAGGTTAAGAGAATAAATGCATAAAGAAAATGAGAATTTCAAGAGACAGAAAATAGAAGTACCAAACAAATCTCAGAGTTGAAGAAAACAATAATTGCCCTGAAAAATTCAACAGAGTGGTTCAACATCAAAAGATGACTAAAAGGCTTATGTGATGGTGAGCAAATAATGCATTCCTGGGGTCCCAGAAGGAGAAGAGAAAAATGGACAAAAATCTTATTCAAAGAAATCATGGTGGAAAATTTCTATAACCTGGGAAATGAAACAATAATCCACACAAGGAAGCCCAAAGATTTCAAAAAAGGGTGAATACAAAGAGCCCTTCATTGAGACATTATAATTAAACTGTCAAAATAAAAGACAAGGAAAGAATCTTAAAAATAGCAAGAGAAAATCTGTTATGTACAAGAGAACTACAATAAGATAAGGAGATTTTTCGGTGAAACTTTACAGGCCAGAAGGAAGTGTCATGATATATTTATTCAAAGTGCTGAAAGAAAAAATTTATTTCCAACCAAAAAAATTTTATTCAGCAAAGCTGTCATTCAGAATTGAAGGAAAGATAGTTTCCAGACAAGCAAGAGCTGAAGTTTCTCACCAGTATACCAGCCTTATAAGAAATGTTAAAGAGCCTTCTTCAACCTGAAGCAAAAGGACACTAATTAGAAATGAGAAAACAATTGAAAGTGTAAGTCTCACTGGAAGAAATAAATAGGTAAAATTCAGAATGTTCTAATGTAATTGTGGTGGGTAAATCATAACTCTAGGATGAAGGTTAAAAGACAAAGTACTAAAAAATAAGTGTGAATTCAAAATTTATTGATACACAAGTTGAAAATGTAAATTGTGACATCAAAAACAAAATGTTGGGGAAGGAGAGTAAAAGGGTAGACCTTTAGTGTGCATTTCAAATTAAGTTACAGAGCTACAAAAAGACTTATAAGCATCAAGGTAAACACAAAGCAGAAACCTACAGTAGATGCACAAAAGATAATCTAAGCATAGAGCTACAAGTAAACATAAAATAGAGAACAATTAAAAGATGGCACTAGTAAGTCCATATCTATCAATAACTTTGAGTGTAAATGAATGAAATTCTTTAATCAAAGGACAGAGTTGCCAAATGTATAAGACAAGACCCAACTCTATGCTGCCCACAAGAGACTCACTTCAGCTTTAAGGACACATGCAGACTCAAAGTAAAGGGACAGAAAAAGATATTTCATGCATGGAACCAACAGAAAACACTTGGACAAAATAGACTTTAAGGCAAAGACTTCAATAAGAT